GCTGATGCTGATGCTGGTGATGATGATGCTGATGATGATGTTGATGCTGATGCTTCTGATGATGTTGATGATGATGATGAGGAGGAGGTGGAGGAGGAGACGGAGCAGGAGGAGGACGATGATGGTAATGATGATGCTGCTGCTGATGATGATGCTGATGATGATGATGGTGGTTATGATGATGGTGATGCTGCTGATGATGCTGATGATGAGGATGAGGATGAGGCAAACGATGATGATGATGACGATGATGATGATGATGATGCTGATGATGATGATGATGATGCTGATTATGATTGTGGTGATGATGATGACGATTATGATGATGCTGATGCCGACGACCATGATGATGATGATGATGATGATGATGACGATACTGATGATGAGGATGATGAGGATGATGCTGATTTTGATGATGATGATCATGCGAACGATGATGCGACTGATGATGATGCTGATGATGCTGATGATGCTGATGATGATGCTGATGAGGATGCTGCTGCTGATGATGATGAACAGGAGGAGGAGGATCAGGTGCAGAATGAGGAGGAGTAGGAGGAGGAGGACTGCGGCGGTGATGATGATGCTGATGATGATGCTGATGATGATGATGCTGATGATGATGATGCTCACGATGATATGATCATGGTTATGATTATGATGCTGATAATACTGATTGATGCTGATGATGATCATGCTGATGATGATCATGCCGATGATGATAACGAGGATGATGATCATGATGATGATCATGATCGTGATGCTGATGCTGATGCTGCTGCTGCTGCTGCTGATGATGATGATGATGATGATGATGATGATGATGATGCGGATGATGGTGATGATGATAATGATGCTGCTGCTGATTGTGATGATGCTGATGATGATAACGATGCTGATGCTGATGCTGATGATTATGATTATTATGCTGATGATGATGATAATGCTGATGATGATGATGCTGATGATGATGCTGATGATGATGCTGATGACGATGCTGATGATGATGATGCTGATGATGATGATGATGACGATGATGATGATGATGATGACGATGATGATGACGATGATGATGATGATGATGATGATGCTGATGATGATGCTGCTGATGATGATGATGATGATGATGATGATGATGATTGAGATGATGATGATTATGATGCTGATCTGATATGCTGATGATGCTGATGCTGGTGAGGATGAAAGCTGATGATGATGTTGAATGCTGATGCTTCTGATGATTATGATGATGATGATGATTGATATGATGAGAGGAGGAGGAGGAGGAGGAGGAGGAGGAGGAGGGAGGAGGATGAGGAGGAGGAGGAGAGGGAGTAGGAGGAGGAGCAGGGGGAGCAGGAGAAGGAGGACGGAGTAGGAGGGAGGAGGAGAAGGAGGAGGAGGAGGAGGAGGAGGAGGAGGAGGTGGAGGAGGAGGAGGAGGAGGAGGAGGAGGAGGAGCAGTAGGAGGGGGAGGAGGAGGAGGAGGGGGAGGGTAGGAGGGGGATCCTCTTCCTCCTCCTAATCTCCTCCTCTCCTCCACCTTTGTTCCTCCTCCTCCTCGTTCTCGTCCTCGTCCTCGTCGTCCTCGTCCCTCTTCCCTTCCTCCTCCTCCTCCTCCTCCTTCTCCTCTTCCCTCCTCTGTAGCCGTTTCGGCCCCGCAGGACCGATGGCTGCGGGAGTGGGTTCATGAGTTCATCGGCGGCCTTGCGCGGCGCTGCTGGAGCCCGTGCGGCGGCGGATCGCATGTACGCGCGACTGCAGAAGCTGGGGAACGCTGACAGCAAGAGGCGGGAGGCGGATGAGGCCCTCCAGGTGATCGTCGGTGACGCCGAGGTCGCCGATCGAGTTCGCTTCTTTCTGCCAGCTCTGGCGGCGCTGGTAGCAGGACGTGCGCCGACGTGGCTGCAGAGGCTGAGGCGCAACGCCGGCCTGCATGCAGTCACGCCAAGGACGCAGCTGTTGCTCCCTGATGCGACTGCGTTTTGCGTGGCCCAGCGCGGGCCGCGCCTCGGAGGCGCTGCGGCCAGAAGGCACGATACGGCTGAGACCCACGACGCCGACGCTGTCGTGTGCATCGTGGAGATCTGCGTGGTCGACGTTGGGCTGAAGAGCTTTCTGACTTGTGCAGCGCCCGTTCAAGGCCCTGCAGTGAGGAACACGGCGGCTCCGCCGTTCGTGCCTGACGTTGTGAAGGATCCTGTTCGGTTGGGCGCTGATGTTGAGCTGTTGGCGGCGTCGGGCCCGCTGGCGGTAGCCGAGGGCGCAGGCGACGGGGCGGATTACCACGCCGTGGATGAGGCGGACGGCGTTCTGTGATTAGAGCGCGTCAAGTTCGAGTGAAATTGAACCGTGCGAGGAGGATGACACTGCTCGGGAGGACGATGACCTGGAGATCCCCGCGGAGGTGGAACCTGTTTCTGGGCGTGCTTACCCGCGGGCTGCCCCCGCCGTCCGGCCGAGGACCGTGATGAGTACGTGGGACGAGCACGACGGCCTGGTGCAGGCTAATCTATAGAGAAGCCGGCTGGCGGCCCGCGCGTGGGGGCAGCCGTGGGGGCCGCGGACGACGG